TTCTGCATTCTCCTGTTTTGCAGTAGACTACACACACCAAGTTACTTGTGAGACTCATGGAAATCTTACTCAGGCGTGTTCCAACCCAAACAAATAACACGCATCTGAAATAACTGGTAATTTGCCTAAAAGCAAAAATCCCTCACTGGAGTGTGTCCCAAATTAAAATGTTTGTTGCAGAAACAGACTTCTTTCTTACAGTCACATTGCAAACAAATGTACATGAACAAGAGGAGACAGAAAAAAGTCCTTGAGCTGGGCTCTATGATGTTTCCATTCTCACTCTGCCCAGATGAGAGTCGTGTCTCTAACTGCTTCCAAGCCAAGGCGCCTGGCCTGAAGGGCTGCTTGTAAACACCTGTGGCCCAGCCCCAGCTTGTGACGCCTGATGACTCCATTCTGGTCGTGTGTGTGGGAAGAACAAGAGACAAAGCAGCACCGTCAGCCTTTTGTAGTCACAGTAACACAACACTAAGTTCTGGGAAGTAGACAATACTAGAGAGAGCACTCCGTCTCACAACTTTACGTGTCAGCTTTCAGAAAGCACTTTAAAACCATTTATCCAGCATCGTATAAAAGCACCATTGAAAGGCTGAACAGAGAGCACCACGTATACAGAATCGTGATCGAGGGAACGGACAGGAGCTGTTCAGGGAGCCATGGAGAAGCACACAGCCCAGAAGAATTCCTGCAAGATGGATTCCTTGAAGGCACGACAGATGAGGGCTTAGAGAACAAGGCAACTGGTCCTCAGCCAGTTGCTACTGTGGGGATGGTCCAGCTCTGGGTGAATCATGAATATGAATCCCCACACATACTCATCCCTCACCCCATGAATCCTGCTACATGTAAGAAAGCCTATAACTGATATTAATACAAAGACTGAAGCAACGGATTCTTCACAGTTGACATGGACAAAGACCACCACCTCCCTGAATGCTCACTGTTGAAAAACTTAGGTTCTTCAAAAGAAGATTGTTAATTCTTATTGCAAAGCTGAGTCATTGTAGCTACATTACTGGGCTTCTCAGAGGATGTTTGTGAGAGACTATTGCTATCATAGGGCTAACTGAGGTCCAACACACTTAACGTGTCTCTGTGAAGCTCTTTCCAACTTAGACATGCAAATGTTGGGGTTGTCCCTTTGTACTTTTGAGTTAAACAAACACAGTGTGGAAAAGAGTATGGAAGTACTAGCTACTTAGTAAAAAAGGCACTATTAATGGATCTAACCATGGTAATTAGGTACATGCATGTGCTACAGATATCTATAAAGAATTTATTTCTCTCTGTGACTGAAAAAGCAATTCTGCACTCATCACGGTAGAAAGGGGCGACTGGTTTCTGTACAGGGTTAGAACTGGTTTAGGTATGTGCTCAGAACAACTCCCGCAGGAGACACAGATTCATGGAAGAGATGTCCAAACTATTTCTACCAGTTCCCAGAAGGAAATCAGAAAAGACCTTTTCTCTAGTGTAGCTATACACACATTACAGCTTGTCTTGGCCTTACCATGGCAATCTGATGTAAGACCTTACTATAATTGTGCCAAAAAATGGAGGCAAAGACACAGAGTGTGAAGTTGCCTCAGAACAGATCACCGGCTAAGAAATACTCTTTTCTGGATGTTGACATTTTATTTAGGGATATGGTGAAAGAGAAAAAATAGCAATGAAGAGACAAGTAGAAGAGACGCCCTTTTCTGTACAGTTAATTTAATCTGTTTGGGGGTTCCTGTTGGAAAAATCCTTCCATCCAATCCACTGGTGAAAAAGAAGCATTGACAACAGCAGCAAAGGAAGAGATCTTACTTGTGTAAGCAGTGAACTTAAACAAAGGCTTGATTCTCTGTCAAGAGATGTAATTATTCACTTAAGAACCTTAGGCTGAATTCTGAAACAGTTTTCTTTAGCGTTAGACTATACAATCGAGATTGTAGGGGAGTTATGGACTCCCTTGTGCATCCTTATTCAGGAGGGCAATTCCTTTTTGCAGCTCCCAGGAGCCCAGTGTGAGGGGGTCTCCAAGGCTGAGGGCAGGTACACGGTGGAAGCAGTGATCCATCTAAGTTGCTGTGACCAGCCTGAGAGTCACTTAAACAGGACGGAATATGCCAGCACCAGAGGACTGCAAACTCAGTACCAGCTCCCAGCGTAGGGCTGTATGAGGCAGGTTAAAAACAGAAACAAAGAGAAAAGAGAGGGGGAGGGATTTCACTGTGGAAAAGGGAAGTCTAGGGGTCTCAGGGAGGAGCTGTTAGAACTGGGGAAAGAAAGGAAGGAAGGAGCCTCGCCTCGCATTCCTTCCTCCAAACCAACACTCTTGATTTTGCTCTGAAAGACTGCAAAGAGCCCCAGGCAGCCCCCTTCCTTTCTTTGACTTGCTGGTCTTGATGAGGGCGCTTCTACAGTGATGTCTGATTTTCTTTTTTTGCACCTTAAAATGTTGCAGTGTTATTCTTCGCTATCATTAATTGGCATTATCTTCTGTCTTTAAATTGATCTTGCAATTGCATCTGGTGAACCTGACAAACCATGTTGCTACTGCTTCTCCAAAAGCAGTTATCCATGTAATGAGTAAGACAATCCTTAAGAGATAACTACATCTTGAGATGTATTTGGGGATTTCAGGAGTTGGGGTATGCCCGCCCCTAAGTTGCAGGAGTCAGACTGAGGACTACATATATAAACCCATACCCCTGAGCAAGGAACAGACAGCAAACACATAGTTAAAGACTTAGAAATTCTCCAGACTTAGCACAAAAGATCTTCTGAAATGTGGTGCATCTTATCTTTGGCCTTAAACAGTGTGAAGGAGGAGAGAACAGTCAAAGGAGAACTTCATGAATTCACATTCAAGGAACAGAAACAGAAACTTTTTGAGGGAAAAACTCCAGAGAGGAAGACCAAAGTCAGCTTTAAAAAGCACTGCAGTGAAGTGGAAGCAAAGGGTTTGCTGCAGCTGTGGAAAAATGGCAGCGTGGTCAAAACCAAGATGGGTGTAGACTGGTCCGAACTGCTTCTCCTCGAAGGAGGAGAGTCATAGATCAAGCATACCGCACTGTCGCGTGAGGTCCGGATCCTTGAAGTCTGACTCACCCTGCGGGCAGAGTCTGACTGCACGCTTGCACTGCTCCTCGGAGCCATACTACTTACAGGTGAAGCCCATAAATTAGTACACTTCTTTCAGTTATTAAGTTATTTCTAATAAATCTGTGTAACCAGATCTGTGTTTGCACTTTATAGTACCAAGTAACGTTGAGTGCTGGCCAGTGATCTGAGGAGGACGCAATCCAATGTATCAAAACCCAGTACCAACTGAGCTGAAACCAAACCCGTTCTAGGCTACTAGGGAATAAGCCAACCGTAGTTTATGTACTGTTTATTTTGAATCGAAAATAAACTACTCTTCAAGCACATGCCAAGTATTATGTATGTGAATGCTATTTGAATGCTACCAAGTTTGGACCATAATTTATACTTGTGTCCAAATTACATGTGTATGCTTATATACATGGGGATATACGCACACGTGTACACAGAACTGTGTACAAACGCGTATCACACACTGCCAGTTCTCAACTGTTGGAATAGTCTTGTACTATTGTACCATTCATTGTACTATTCTTGAAGAAAACCAAAGTATCAACCCAGTACCTACTTACTTCATCTAAGCACTGTACTTTGTTTTTAATGGTAACAGAATAACTTGGTATCTTTGAAAGATGGTGGCTTTCAAACTGCTTGTTGGAGCCCCAGGAAGTTCTTGGTCGCCCTCCTGCTCCTTTTAGCAGAGGAACAAGGAGGACCAGTGCCTATCCCTGACTAAATCTCACTCTCTCTCTGCCTCTTTTTTGCCCTTTGGCAGTGTTCTTTCATATAGTTATTTTGAGCTTAAAAACAGCAAGGCATGTTCCACATCCCGATCAAGAAGACCAAAAAAAACCCAAACAATTGTTCATTTAAATACTTCTAATACAGGAAAAAAAGAAAATTAAAGGAAAACCAAATAAAGCCCAGTTGAAGAATGGGACTCCTCCAGTTACATAAAACAGAAAGTTAATCTACAAAATCTTTGAAGATGAAAAATATGTTGTAAAAATAAAAAACATCTACTGAACGCAGTACATAAATTTTCCTATATAATAAACTCCACAAACGTATTAAAATATTTTAAGTCTTAAAAAAGGGCAAAATTCTTCAGAAGATGACTCAACACTATTAAGGTTAGACTAAACATTACGCCAACACATCCATTTGCACAACCTTTTGCAACATGACACTCATCTGGCATGTTTCTGTGTAGGTACGCGTGTGCACGCGAGGGGAATGGAGCAAGAACGCAAAGGGTGTCACTTGCCATTTTAAAGCAGTATTCCACAAATAATCAAACAAAAAAACCTACAAATACCAGTACACATCTCAAATATTGCAAGTCACATTCTACAGCCCTTGACATTAAAACAGGAGAAAAAGCTGTCATAATTAATTCAAGTACATTTGGAGTCCCTTGTGAAATGCAGTACTGTTGTTTGCACTTTAGTTGCAATGAATGTGGGCAGAGCTCCCCAAAAGCCACAGAAGTGAGCACGCCTTCCCCAGCCCTGCAAAGTACGTCTGAGTTGAGGTACGATGATATGTGATTTGCTCAGTGAAGCTGATGCCCGAACTTGAATGAAAGATGATGTTTGAAAAACACTTTGAAGTAAATAAAATAATCTTTTCAAATGAAAAGCTAGCTTTGTGTAAAGGCAGTCTTTTTGGTATATAATCCTGTCAGGATGACGAGCACGGCACTCCTTCCCAAATTCTGGTGGTTGTGGAGCTAACAATGAAGCAGCCTTTATGTTGTTCTGGTTGTCATTCTGACCTGACGTACCCTTTCCCGTGAGCCCTCATCCACCCCCCAGAATAACCTAATGGGTATCACACCCCAGCTGAAACGTACGGTCCTTCTTCACAGCTTTCGTTTTCTGCTTAGCTTTGTTCCTCAAACGGAGAAGGACTCCCCTCTCCACGCTTCGCATGTTCCTTTGAACATACCAGTGGATCAGATAAATGCTGAGTAGTTACAGTCTGGTGAACTCCCTGTGGTGCTGCAAGTCCCCTATGCTCTCATAGTCATTCTCTCCTGAAAGAGCAGCGTGGTTTGTGTTAGGCACAGACAAGGTCCTGTCCTCTTCTTGGCTCACTGACTGGATAGCTTCATAATCAGGCTCCAGCTCCCCGTTCGATCTGTCTGCTGACTGAGGCACAGTGGTAGTATTCAGGGTGTTTTCGAAGTCCTTCACACTTGCATAGAGGCCACTGCAAACGGACGGGGACCTCTGAGATGCAATTTCTTGAATACAGGTGTAAGGAGAATCCAGTGCCTTGATGGCCTGTCCCGGCTTACTCACGGACGAGTACATGGCTGAGATCTAGGAAAAGGAGACACCTGCTGAGTATTTAAGCATGGCATAAAGCTTGTGTGCCAGTTTGTACCCCTTCCACCACATGGTTTTAGGTTACTTAAGAAATGACAGGATCTTCTAATAGAACCATACCCTTTCTTAAAAAAAAATAAAAATTCTTACAAATCCTTTCTTTTCTGGCATGCATTTATAAATTGATTTTCTTTCAAAAAATAAGGCTTTATAAAATTCTTTATAAAAGAAGTTTGTAAATGTAAAAGTTCTTTGAGCAGAAATCCCCTGCGGGCAAATTAGACTTGGGACAAAAGGAGAATGGCTTTGTGAGCAGGAGCTCTTTCAAGTTTTGCTATGGTCCTGGAGCCAGCTTGGGCTCAACGGGGAGACAGGTGTCAAAGGAATGATCACGTTTAGCTGCTGTAATGTAGGAGAAAGATGCTGTCTGATCCTTATGGTTTTTTAAATTATTATTTTTTTTTTAATGGTAGTGGCTACTTTTCTGCTTTTAGAGACACCCCAAAAGGACAGTAGTTATTTGTTGTTGCGTATATAGGCAGGAGCAAGGAGGCACCAAGTCATGTGAAGTGAACAGTAAAAATTAGGAGACAAATTACCCACACCAGAAAATAGCAATCGTCAGTGCTGAGCTTGATAGGCAAGGTCACTTCTGCTGATTCAACTGTGCCTACAAAGAGGAGCTGCATCTCTGTCAATGTGTGTCAGAGCTTACGACTAGAGCCTGAAACATCTCAGCTGCTATAAATAAACACAAGAGAGGGAGCCAGAGTCTCACTCCTGGCTCTAAAACCCCCTCGGAGGAGGTGGTCTGCTTGAACAAGTGCACAAAGGTGGTCCTTAATGAAGAGGTGAAGGAGAAGCCCCCACGTCCACACGGGTCCCTCTGCCCAGGGCTTGCCAGAGCTGGCACCAAGCCACTCTGGACTCCGTCCCCCTGCCCCCTGCACAGGGCAGACGGCTGAAATTCCCTGCGCTGCTTCTCTGGCACCTAATACTGCAATTGCAACATAACCCTTCTGTTACATCTGAAGTCTTTCCCAAGCATGCAAGGCCACTCTGGATTTGTAGCAATCCAATTAAAGCAGTAGATTGGCATGAAAATGTCCATTACCGTTAAGCAACACTGATTTGTATTTGTTTTAATTTATTATTTCATAAAGAGAGATGTCCAATTGCAGATGGCAATACTTCTTACTTTTTACTGATTTCAGCCAATGAAAACAAAAAATGGCTCTTCTGCTCATCCACACTTCGACCCTTTCCAGCATTAAGTTACAGGAACCCAGTTCAAGGATCAATTTATTCATTAATGTCTCAGAACGCTTCTCCCCGCAGAAAGCATTAGCTCACTCAGCTCACTGCCAAGTTTGTGTTTACTTTCATGTCCGGAGAACATATTTATAAATTGCACAGGTGTACTGGAGACGATCGCAAGCAACCTTATTTCTGTTTAACTTTTCTGTCTTTGTTTCAGTCTCCTCAATTTATTTGACTAACAGACATTTGAAAGAGCAGTTCATGTTCCAGTGCTTTCACTGTGCTTCCGTTTATTTCCCAGAGCCCCAAACCCTTTGCATGGGGAAGGTGGAGCATGTTTCAAAAGGCTGATGATGATCGTTCTGAAGTAGAGCTTGTCATCCAAATCAAGCAGCTGCCCTAATGCTCGGCTAATCGTGGCCTCCTGTTAGCTTCTGACACTATTTTTCACCTGTTGGCCTGATACAGCCATACGCTAGAATACCTCTGATTTTAGGAATGTGGCGGTACAAACTCTGCGCAGAGAAACTTTGGCTTTCACTTTCCCTTCAGACAAATTTCACCTTTCTAAGATCCTGCTTAACCCTGCAGAGCCTATGCTGATTTCTGCCTGAAAAAAGGTCTCTAGTTAGTTATAGAATTTTGTGCAAGAAACTTACCTCATCTTCTGTAAGAGATGGATCTTCCTCTCGAGACTTGTAAGACATTGAACTAAGCCTCTGTAAAAAAGGAGGAAAGAAAGCAAAAAAAAAAAAGGCTCATTACCAGTCAACTGTGTGAAACCTATAATAAAACCCTCCCATTACAACCAATACATTATATTTTATGGCCATTTGCTCACTAGTTCCATTTTACATAGCTAATATCCCCAATACCCAGAGTACCTCTCTGGAGATAACAGCCCTGATGTTAGCAGAGCTTTTTAACGTATCTGCTCTTGTCCTGACCTGAAGAGGGTAAAAATAATGTAATGGTTAAAACAAACTCTGCTCCACTGTATCCCTGCCTTTACACTTCTGAAGAAGCAAGGAGGAGTCTGCTAAGGCTTTTGGGCAATTAAGAGTCAGCTGTTGTGACACCCTAGTTGGCCTTCCGCGTGACACTCACATATGCTTTTAGATGGTGAAAGAACACTGCTCAGCTGGCACCTTCCTGACAATTGTCACCCTTCATTCCGTGGACCCTGGCAGTGCTGCAGGGGAGGTGCCGCGTCCTCCTGCCCCAGGAACGCCGCGGCTGTGCAGGGTGCAGAGCAGCTCTGCCTCACCACCGCCCGCCCCGCCGGCACGGAAGGGACCTGCTGCAGCCCAGCCCGAGACGGGCAGCTCGGCCCCCAAAGCATCTGGCTGGATCCAGGTCACATCGCAAAATTACTCAAGGATGGAGGGCTGCGTTTGGTATCAAGTCTAACTTCAAGCATGTAAAGCGTCATGTAGAAGGTAGATCATGAAACTCTGGGGAAACGCATTTTGCTCTTACGAAAAATGTCTTGGGACCTTCATGGCAACAAAGACCCTGGCTACCTCACAACAGCCGTGTGATTCCTCCTCTCCGGGGCGAGAAGGCTTTGCTGGACTCCTGCCCTGCAGTGACTTCAAAGGGACCCTTCCAGCACTGTAAAGTGCCGTGTTTTGGGTTTTCACACAAATTCTCCACCTAAAATACTTCAGACCTCCTCCAGTGCAGACCAAGGTGGAGATTTAACACAGTCAATCAAATACAGCTTACAGGCACATACTAGACACACAGGACTTTTTTTTTCTTTCCACAGTGGCTCATTGCAGCAGATTCTTTCCTGCTTCCACTTTTCTTGGTGTTTTTACTTCTGGTAAATACCAAGCTTCAAACCTCTGGGGCACTTGTGATGAAGACCCTGACCCAAAGCGCACCGAAGTCTGCCTGCTGCTCCCCTGGAGGCCTCCCTCACACCTAACAGCTCCTTTACTTCTTTATCACCATCTGCAGAATGTGCTCTTTAACCTTCTTTTTTTTTAAAAAAAAAAAGCAGAATGTCAAATGTACTTTGGCCTTTTATTAGATCTGCTTCACTACAGCAGCGCAGTTTAGTCTTTCTTATCTGCAGGATATTTTTTGTGTTGAGGAATGGAGTAAGTTACCAGTTTCATCGCCACACACAAAAAAAAACATGTGCTTGTAAAATTTTTCAGTGAAGTTACTTTCTCTCATCAGTGTGTCTGTAAGCACCACGTGTCAGGACCCCTTCTACAGTTTGCCACTCAAGTATTGACGAACACCCCAGGGTGCTGGCAATCCTGTTCTTGTTTCCCTGGGACCTAGCGTTCTTTCTTCTAAATGTGAAACCTGTGAAACATCAATTTGGAAGGATTTTGTCAGCTTGGAAACTGAAAAAAAGACTTGCTCCTAAACATTTTGTACCTAGCAATATTGTAAATTATGCCCGAAACCTCAACAGGAGCAACACAAACAGCGTGTGTCCTTATTTGCCTTCCACTTTCTTTTTTGTTCCTAAACAGCACTTGATTTTTTGCTGTCTGGCTCAGCTGCTGCTCCTGACTCGGGCACCAGAACAAGACGACCATTCTCCTCCAGTGCGTCCGCAAGCGCCGTGTTGCCCATCCGCAGGCTGCGCAAGCCTGGAATCAGATGGCAGCAGCCAGATGTGCACACAGAGAGCGCTTCTACCAGCGCTCACTCTGGAAACACTGGGCTGAGAAAGGAGATCTGTACTTTTTTTTTTAATTAAAAAAGAAGAACTAAAGAAAAACTATTCTTCCGCTCCAGTTTTATTAGAAGAACTACGCCTAAGTTTTTCCAGGTGACAGAGGCCTCCTGCTGTTAAAGGTGTCTTTCTTCACCAAAACCGTCCAAAGGATTTGGCTGGGTCACGGCCAATAACCAGTTCAGATAATCATTTTTCACTCGTTTATTGCACGCCTGGCTCTTGGAAGGACCCTTTATCCTTTTCACGCTGTTGTACGCTCCAACGCTCTCTGGTTTGGTCCACCTCGCCCTCTCCCAGACGAGCGTGCTTCAGGGTCTGGCAGGGGCTGGGGATCATCCTGGCTGCCCTCTTCCACGGGGCGAGGCTGAAGCCGCCTGGACAGGTCTGTTCTCTGTCAGCTGGCAGGGACGTGTCTCGGTTACGCCAGCAGCCTCCCTGCCCGTCCCTTTTCTGTGCCTGACTAAAGCAAAGCCTAACTGTAGTGCGAGAGACTCACGCGACTTATGCTCTCTTTCTCGGCGTCGGGGCAGGAGGTTGCAAAGTTTGGGATACAGATGTCATGTTAAGCAAGGCAGCTAAGTAGCCTCACAAGAGAGGAAGCAAGAAGAGACACCTGTGGAGTCTGTTTAACTAAAAGAGCTATCAATGTAACATACATTTCCATAAACATCTTGTTTTTGGTTGCCACATCGGAAAAAACAGGCATTGCTCTGCGTTGTTTGAGGCAGCAAAATAAGAGGGAAAAATTATCATCATCGCAACAGAAAAACAATCCCAGCACCGCCTCCCCACATGATGCCAACAATAATGACATGTACATATTCCATCAGTTACCATTTCCAACTCTGCCGCAGCTGTAGCTCTCAAGGACAAGCCAGGCGCACGCGCCGATGCATAATGCACGAACCCAGCAGCGAACGCGGGAATAATCTGATGCTGCCGAAGCCTTAGCTCAGGATGGCTTTAGCTCTGAATAAATTTTAATTAGACAAACACCTTTTTTCTGGCACTTAGGGGACTGCATGTGTCATCCCTTGATTAATCCTTCAAAACCTGAACCGTTTTAATCAATTCCCTCCCCTTGCAGCTGCTGACAGCGTGTACACGGTGTGTGCTGGGGAGCTAGAGAGCAGCAACTGCTTTTCCTTTGTATCGGTGCCTGGGAAATACAATGATTTTCTGCAAGTCTTTTCACACCTGGTAGGAAAAATGTCACTGTTACGGAATGCTGTTTCTCTGAAAGTTTAATTAGAAATTACATATGGCCTGAATTTCGGAGGGGGGGAGTGTTGGTGGATTGTTGTTGACAATTACATCTTCATTTTTTACTTAATGAGCTCGTTACTTGTAAGAATGCGCGCTGAAGAGTCCGGATAAACAATTTTTAGATTGTGAGTAGTCTTCAGTTTATTCATTTTGACTCTATTGTGCTTCATACACTACGTGGTTAGTCAGTTATTTAACAAGGTATTTTTCTGCCCTCTGCCTGGATTACTAAAATAATTCAAGTAAGAGAACAACCAAAAACAAGTAACAATACCTCAGCTCTGCTATGATTTTCCAGGTAAATGTTTGCATTAAAATGTCACATCACATCTTAAGGATTTTTTTTAAATTTTCAGCAGCACCTAATATTATTTGATAACTCAAACACCAAAATTATACTAACCTGCTAAAATCACAGTTCTTTCATTCACAATTAACAACAAGTTATCTAAACCAGTTCAGAAAAATGCAAACTCAACAACCTGTGACAACTCTGTGCAATGATCTGAAAACATCCTCAGGATTAATTCTGGTCAAAAACCAAAAATGGGAAAATACTTGTTGAAAACATCATCACCGGTTTTTCAAGGAGTTCACTTCTAACTTGTCCCTTGGCTGGCAGACAGAATAAGCTGCTGACAAAACACAACTTTTGGCCATGATTTCAGCAGGCAGAAATTCATTACTCTGTGTATGTATGACATAGAGAATTTGACAAACGTAAAAACCTGTGGTTGCAACCTCTCTCTCCTTCTGTCCCTCCCTCCTCACACGAGAGGAGTGGCTTTGAGCAGATGCCTGACACTCACACAGCTAAGCCAAGGTGGCCCAACAAAGGAGGCACATCTAAAGTCAGGGCACCACCAAGAATGCCCCCCTCTCCTTTTTGTAAATTGAGGTTTCATTAGAAAAAAAACAAGAAGGGGATTCTGAACAAGATACAGATACTGAGAGAGACACCAGGTACCTGTTGTCATAGCACCCACAAGTATAGTACCATTAAACAAAGAAGCAGAGGCCTCCTGTGCAATTTCTGGATAATATTTGGGAAGAGCCTTACGAAGTGCACACTGCAGCAATCCAAAATGTAGGCTGCAACAGAATGAGTCCATGCCTACAATGCAAAGACTGTACTGTACATTTTCATATTTCTGTATTTTACAGTCTCGCACCACCTTGGGTGGTTTTTTTCCTTGGCATTTTTTTGTTATTTAAAAAAAGCCAGCCCTCTCCCACCCTTATGTTCACTATCATTATTTGGCTGTTTGACAAGTATTTGCAGTATTTACCTTCTCTGGCTTACTGGCTCCTTCTGTCACTTCTTCTTCCACTTCTTTTTCCTTCACATTCTCATTTTCATCAAGAAGCTTCATGGGTACTGGAGGGGGAAGCTCATCCTCTACATCTGGTGTGTTGTCCAGAGGGCTTTCTGAATTAGCACTTTGGCGACTTTTTTTATTTCGGTCAACAGATGCATATTCTGCTGATTCAATTCTGCACTCAGGAATCTGATCCTGACCTTCAGAAACGACCAGCGAAGCCCTTGATTTGGTGTTACAGCTCCCTTCCATGCTGGCTACTGCTCCAACTTCTTTAATTTCCTTCACAGTTTCATACAAGCAGTCTTCAACTATGTTCTCCTGAGAGGAGCTGTCTTTCAAGACTTCGTAAGGCCCTTCCATTCCAAGACCTTGATCATTTTCTGCATTTCTAGTGGAGATGATGGTTTCCATGGTATTGTTAGCGGGAATACTGGGTAGTTCCCGGCTCTGGTGACATTTTATGGACTTTCCAAGACTATCCTGTTGATCTAGCAGATCAGAGACAGATGTCTGTACTTCTTCATAAGGCTGGATACAGGCAGTTGTACTGTCCTCTGAGAGTACTAGGGAAAATGATAAACAAATATGTCAAACAACTGCATGGCTACAAAAGGTGAATGCGATTCGGCACACTATAACTTTGGTTTTGTGTCTCACTGAAAATCATAAAAGATATTAATGCCTGGAAATGTCTAGTGGTCATCATGTTTATCGAAAGGTTTCATTACAGAGATTTCTGCGCTCTGTTGGGTTGACGGTTGGACTTGATGACCTTAGAGGTCTTTTCCAACCTTAATGATTCTGTGATTCCAAGTCACATTACACAGCAACAGCGTTCGCAGTATGAACAGCAAACGGGTGGGCAGCTGCCGGCGTGCATGGATGTTCGGCTGTAGTCAGTTATGTTGAATGCTCACACACTGCTCAGTAGTCTCAGATGGCCAACATGGGTGGGAGGCCTCGGACCAAGTGCCTTTAAAAAAAGCCTCTTTTCCTCTTCCCCTTTCCTTATCCTTTGGAATCGAAAAGGAAAGCGTTCCCGCTTCCTCCCTACACAGCCCTCACCTTGTTTAACGTGCTGGCCAAATCCTCGTCTGAGCCGCGCCTCACTCAGCCCTGCTGCAGTCAGCCTCTCTACCCCAGAAGCTCCTCACTGGAAGGCTGTGCCATACTTCTCTTAGTCTCGCAGCACATAATGTAGGTTGACAACCTACTAACGAGCCAGCCATATGCACACAAGAGAAGACTAGACTTCAGAAAGTAGTGTTAGGCAGAACATGTTATTTTAAGTCCCAGAAGCAGGTCACGTGTTGCTGTCACTAGAGGGTATTAGACACTGAAATCTATGGGACTTCTCATCTTACACTGCACACGTATGACATTTGCCTGCATTCAGGGATGTACACATGGGCACACACAAGCATGTTTAAGGTAGTATATGGTATGCCACTCTCTGTGACACCATTTCTTTGAAAAATCACATCTGAACAGCTCTGCTTTTCTTCATACAGTTTCTATGCTACTCTCTCAGCAAAATCAACTAATTCGTTCACTTCCTTCAGCGTGTTTGACGTGATGACACAAAACGTTGCCGAAGCAATCAGTACTCATGGTTTGGTGGTTGTTATGGACGTTGCTTTCCCTCCTGCTCAGGGCACGCAGACTCACACAGTCAGCATCCACAGGGAGCCGCACCCTGACAGCAAAACTCAGGGAACAGCTGGAGGTGTGAGAATGCAATCGCTGTCTGAATGGGAGATGGGAGGAGGAGAAGTGGAAAACATCCTTCTCCATTCACTTGGCTCCTGCACATGACTGGGGAGGAACAGGTGGAACAGTAGGAAGCGTGCTATTGCATCCTGACTAGGACTCTAGGTGTCCTAGTCACCACCCAGGGTGGCTATAGACTTCCTGAGGAACACCAGGAACCGGCCTGGAGAACCTGGAACACGTTTTCCCCTTCTGCTGCTTGCTCGCCGGGATTTCTGTGCTCTGCAGAGCGGTGTCTCAGGCCCCAGAGAGCACCCACCCTGTTCAGCCTGCTAGGGATAATTGGAAGCAATGAGAGCTCACGTTTCCGTGCTGCTGTGGCTATGGGTGGTAGCACAGAAGGGGTTGGTGTAGATAAACGCAGCCCTAGCAGGCTGAACGCAGGAAAAGAAAATACATTTGATGGTGCTGCTTCCATAACCCTGCCCCTGCTCAAAAGGCTAGCAGAAACAGCAAAAGAACTACTAACAAAAAGAACACATGAAATACAAACAAGAAATTAAAGCACCTTGGTTACTATTACTCAGAAGGGCTGTTGTGCAGGGTGTAAGCTGAGTAACATCAGACAGTCTGAAAACTGTCTGCTGGTTGACAGCATGCCTTTTAGTAGCAGCGTCGACAGCTGCGTGTGTGGTGACTCGTGGCAAAGCGAAAAGCTTCCCTTCTGCGGGGCTCTGCTCTGCGCAGCGAGTCCCTTGGTGAGCCACACACACCTACACACGCAACAAGCCAGCGGGCGGGAGCTGTGATTAGCTGCAAAAACACAGTTTAAAAATCCCTTTGGGTACTTGTCTCTGAGGGGTAAAGACCGAACAGCTTAGCCTTCGGCTGCCCAGTGACATGAGGAGGTGAGCTGTAAGCTGAGAGCGCAGCCCCCGGCGTCGGTGCCCAGCGTAGAGACAACAGTTGGCTCCTGGCATTTCTGAGCTGAGAATGAGTTTATTTTTAGGTGCAGCTGAGTAAAATATTTTCCAGGGACACTTCAGTGTGAATCATGTTGAGTGTTCAGCAAAGACCTGTTTTCTAAAATACAAAAATAGAAGTGATGGTCTCATACAGCACAGGACTACGATCCAAAGGTGCAGTCCCTGGAGGAGGACCTGAAATACTTCCACAGCCTCCACGAGTGAAGCACCAAGGGGCAACTGCATCTTCTGATCACACCCCAGCTCCATAGCTGGCTGAGTTTAGAGAACACTGCAGTCTTTGCCCGATGGCCTGGCCTATCTGCAGGTGGAGCTTGGTGGCCCAGAGGAGGACCTCAGCACCCTCCAAGTGTTGGCTGGTGTGGAGGACTGGTAGCCGGGGCGCAGGGCGATGCCAGAACAGGCCCAGCAGAGAAGCGGAGATGCACCCTGAAATGCCGGCATCTCCACGTGGCGGGCTGCTGACTTCCCAGCAAGGCAAACATGCTCGCTGCATTTCTTACTCAAACGTTAAGTTTCGTGTGAATCATGTTCCGTACGAAAAGGACTGCCCTCCGGAGAGCTGCACGCCCCGCCGCTGCCCTGCGAGGCCGCAGCCGGTCCGGCGCCAGGCACCTCCAGCAGTGAGCAGAGGGAGACGCAGGGCATTCGGACCCACAGCACGGCCGTGTGCTCGGAACTTTGCCGGGACCAGAGGCATCGCTGATCGAGTGGCTGAACACCTCCTTATCGGACGGCTGCAACACAAATCGGTGAGATCTAATCACCGCTGGAGCAGAACAAACGTTTGCAAAGATAGACACGTGACAAACTTCATTCTGATCATGGGAGCTCCAACTCAGGGGTGTCATTGGCAGGAGAGTCAAACCATGCCGACGACACTCCAAGATTTTAGGTGCTTGTTTTTCCAGATATTAAAACAAATAAATGCAAGTATGCCCAGAGTGATCTCCCTTCCAACTTCTATGGAAACAGACATTACCATGGCTTTGACCCCTGAGAAGACAGCGCTGCAAACGGAGAGAAAGAGAGGCAGGAGATCTGGAGTGACAACAGTGGCAGAAAGAGCGGTGAGAAAGCACAGATTATCAGGGTTTACACCAATTCTCCTCCTCTTCCCGTTCTGCAACTTTTAAAGTTTCCCTTGCTCTAACATCTCCAAATTCTTGAGCTATTTTCCGACCTGCAGTATTTTGCAAGGAGCTTGGTGCTCGCCAACCACGAGACAGACACGAGCTGCCAGAAATAAATACTTACCACGTTCATCAGATTTTCATGGTCTCCATTCTGCTGTCTGGCCTTCTTTTCCCTTAATGAAAAAGACGTATGAACTGTTACTACAGATGATGCTAACAGACAAATGCAAGTCACTAAAAGACCGTACACACCTGCAGGGAGCAGAACTGTGATTCACAGTAATATTGAAAATGAAATAACTGAAAATTAGGGATAATACAGGGACTGGTATGACCTCTGTGTAAGATCACCATCGAGGTAGGGTGGTGAACATATCTGAAGAGGTACAACAAACACACATAACCCTTTTTCTTGTTCAGTATAAGATCACAGTAAGGAGTAGCGGTTGATAATCAAAATACTGTCCTCAATTAAATCATATCTGAAATGTTTGGAGATACATGAGAGACATGTTTTGGTGACAGACTACCTGGGGAGTTCCATAAACTATGTCAGTAAAAAGTATTTAAGCTATGAAGAAGTAGAAAAGGCCCACCAAATTCAGCCTTCTCCCACTCAGGATGCTAGCTATAATTAATAATCAGCATGAGCAGTTCAAGAAGGCAAACTTCATAGCATCAGATGCCTTGAACTTATTTTTAAAATGGATCCTGCTTCACTGGGTGCTTCATAGGACTCAAAGTATGGATCACGTTTCCAGTTTCTACCATTTTGGAAATGCAGCTCTTGTTCAATATACTGTAATAAACCATGAGCTTAAAATAATAATAGTCCCTCCCCTAGATGGAAAGGCAAGTAGAAAGGTGAGAAAATATTGATGATATGAAATCTATGCTTCTTGTGAAGTCTGCAATGCACAGTACTTCCCACATTAGCAACTTCTAAAATCATACCTAACTGGGAAACAGGAAAGCGGAGCAAGTGAGTCTGCATCAATGCAGAGCATAGTTAAAGTTTTCAAATACTTAGTTTCCTCTCTGGAAGGTTTTCTGACATTTTAGAAAAGAGCAGATTTTGTTCAATTTTGCATGTCCTCAACCATTTTTGGACAGTAAGTTAGGAAGAAATTTTGCAGAATTGAATTTATGCATAAACAACCTGCCCTACAGAATGACCTGAAATAAAAGACACTGCGTCCGGACCAGCAACATAAGAATTTGTTAAAGAGCATCACCAGATAGTTTCTGACAGTATATCCCTGTAACTGCAAAGACATACTCAGTGGTGTGATTCTGTCATAGAAACATCTTTCTAGAGATGTTTCAAGGATGGGAGTGTTACAAGATAAAACATGGTACCTAACTGCAGTGTTTGTTGTGGGCTTCAGGGTTTTTAAAATAGGTTTTATGCTTTTAAATAAAAATTAAAAAAAACAACCCTATTTCTACTATTTTTAGACAGGTATCACAGGAAGCTGTGATGAATAGGAAGGTACTGAAATGTCATCTACCAGTTTACAGTGCAACAAAAGCATTTCTCCTGAATCATACGAAATCACATGTTCCAACTTCTTATTTTTAAGGTTTCAACCAACTTCTGGGGTCTGGTCTTGCCCATGACTCTTTTTTGCAGCGTGGGCATTAGAGATATCCTGCTGGAAAACAGGGCCTTCCAGTAGACATACATTATGTCAATATGGGGTATTTTACGGCTGCATAGCTTCCTGGACACTCTGAATGCTGAACGAACATGCTTCTATAGGCAAGAGGGTCCAAACCAAAGACACAGACTTTAGAAGAACTGTTCAAATTCAGGTTTTCTCTGAAAACAGATTTTGTACTGTAGGTTTTTTTACTTCTGTACCTCAGACCTCAGTATTTCTTGCTAACTAGTTATTAGTGAAGCTCCTTCAGTCCCCGCTCTGTTTGACTGATACACTGCTGAGCCTTACCTGTTGCAGCTGGAGCAGAGGAAGATGAGGAAGGTGAGGAACAAGAGCGTTGTCAGGGCCGCCAAACTTCCCCACAGGATGACGTGGACCTGTCCACTGCCTAGGAAACCACCCTGTGGCCCCATGGTACTAGCAGGAGCTGGTGGCACTTGGGGATGAAGAGGTTATTCCCTGGAGAAGGCTGGCATCTGTGCTGCGTGCACCTTCTGTTTCTGCAAAAAGAAAAACACTGTTGAAGGTTAATATAAATTTTGAAGGTAATGAATCTGACAGCTACAAATATGGCAGGAGAGATTTTCAGATCCAGATCTTACCAAAAAAAAAAAGTTTCAGACACAAACCAGCCAGCCAAAGAGATTTTCAGCTACATTTCTCACGGCGAAGCTTCATTTCTGACGGTGACATAGAACAAACCTTGTCAAACATTAACATGAGCTCTTACCTATCTACAGTCTCAAAAGGAATAAAAGGTAGTACAGTATCTCTGTGCTTGTGTTTTGAGGAAATAGTTTATAAATCCACTTTCAGGGACAGAGTAGTCTTTTGCAGCGGTATTTGTTAACTTCATGGAAAAGCAAGCTCTCAAAATCAACCACAACTTCTGCGAAGTGAACAAGCCCAAACGAGAGCTGCAGCAGGCGCTCACCTCCTCCCCCCTCAGCGTCTCCTGCCTGCACGGGATTCGGTGCCTGACGTGCAGTGACAAACAAGCTAGCTGAGCCTTTGGAAGGAATGCCACAAACACCTTTCTCGCAGCAGATCCGCTCTAATCTGATTTCTATGTCAAACGCTTGTTTTCTTAGTAGTAGGTCTGGTGAGTAACAATACTGAACTTTCTTTTTTTGCTTCTCCCCACCCAAGTCTAAGAAAACAACTAAGCAGAAGAGCAGAGTACAGCACAGGAGCCCCTGGAGAAACATCCCTGGCAAATGGCATTTACCATATGCAAGTTTTGGTATACAACATATTCTAAAGTTTTATACATATTTTTAATGTAATACATTGTTGACAGGGCAAGATTAAAAGGACGTCTTTCGTTCTGCACTGCTGAAGATACCAATTTATGCATAATTTAGGAATAGGTTATGCAAAGTCTATTTACAGGCTTTCAGCCAGACTTCAAGATTGATAAAGACTGAAATAGAATACAATGGCTAAGAAGTGAGCGTTTACCTTTTGGGAATGAAAAAGTAGCACAAACATAAGGCTGAATAACGTCTAAAGCCACTAAGACTTACTTTAATTTTATGCATATATTTTCATATGTATATTTGTATATGAAATATGTATGTACATATATATTTCTTTCTTTGCAGCAGAAGCACACTTTGTAATAGCAAATTCAATTAGGTACTAATGTCATATATGTATCAAAAACCACCATATCAGCATTTGGTTATTAAAATCTTGCAGGAAAAAGGATTAACTTCCAGAACAATGACATTCACATCAAAGGAAATCTGGTGAGTCAGCAGAAGAAACATAACAACTAAGCTATGTGACTGGGTAGCTCTACAAGTAACATCTCTGCCTCTACATAAAAATGGGCTCATTGGTTTCTACCATGCAGGATCAGACTTCTGGACATCTTCCAAGAAGAACCCATTCTTACTAATTTATCCACGGTGGATAAAACCTTGTTTTTTTTTAAGATATTAATGGCATTGCAATAAGGTGAAATGGGAAAAAACAAACAAAAGATGGGAAAGGTTGCCAATCCTGGAAAGACAGGCTTCCAAGTGCAGTTAAATATTTCTAGTTTGGCCAAGTTATAAGAAAGTCAGATAATCTGTAACTTCCCAAAACGCATAAATACACAGGATGGGAAGAGTAGGTATTGTGCAACTCACCGAGGCACAGGTATGTGTTACCGGTAGCGTCCAGCACCGACACCAGAGAGCTGCCTCTGCTCTTTGGGGACGACCGCTGCCAAGCAATCTGCCTCTGTGGGTAGCTTGGCAGAGCTTGAAAAATTAAACATTCAAAAGCAATGGCAGACCACTCTAAAAATGATGTATATTGCAGATGTGAATCTGATACAGCCCTGCCTCATCCCTGTTTTAAAGCAAACCCTGGGTTGTTTCTACACTGACTCATAGTCACATCACTCACTGTGAAATGGAGAGACCTGAAGAGAAAAGGGATCAGATGCAGTCAGGAGAAAACTTGGTGTAATGCTTGAAAAGACCTCTCTGGTGAGGTGCAAGGGCACCGTGCACAGGGGTGGATTCCTGCAGAGACAATGGACTGTCCTCATTTAGAGAACACTACAAAGCACACCGCACTGGCTGCACTAGCTAGCTCCAAACCTTTGTTAGCTGTTTTGAATACCAAGTATTTCTCTTTCAACTTTTATTTTTTATGAATTTTCAAAAGACATTTTCCAGCTTGTTAAAGCTTTTAAAAATTATTCTTAAAAGATCTGTTACCTTGCTTTTTGCCATCCATTTGCCTTTTAAAAAAACCTAATTTTCTCCCTTCCTTGGAAAAAAAAGGGTGAAATGAACATGAAATGTGGAAAAAAATGAAAACTGAATATTTTTTCAGCATTTTCGTTGTCTTTTCTTCCTTAGTTTTCTCAATAAATAAAAAGAGATCATGCAAATGAAAAAAAAAAATCTTTTTTCTCTTTTTTTTCCCCTTAAATATTGGGCAAAGGAAAACATAAGAAAAAGAATAGGGCCTGCAAAATATGTTTCTTTTCCTGAAAACAGGTACACATGATTATTTGTTTGTTAAAGCAGGTATCTGGTGAAATATCATTTAATTTATTTTTACTATGAAGTTCATGATTTTATACCTACTCTGAGGAACACTGCTACGCTTCTCTCAGAAGACTTAAGTAATGTGCCAAAAGCTAATACAGCAGGAAAGCTGTTCTCTTGCTCTGCACATACATTCGTAAGGCTGCTGGCCTTTATTTAAAGATCATATTTGAGCTAAAGAAAGCTAAGGATGCATGGGGAGCAGACCCACAGAAAAGCTGCATCTTTGAAGACTTCAGTAGAGAGTTCGGAAGTGTTGGAGCGAGCAGGAGCGGGTGGAGTTGAGACTGAGCTTAAAAGGAGCGCAATCAGAGCAAGCGGGTCGAGGGTGACCTGCGTGCAAGTGTCAGGAGTGAAGCGCGAGATCGAAGCGAGACATGAGAAGTCCCACCAGGCAGATGCTGAACGGAGGAGAGGGAGCAACCAAGGACAGAAGATGTAGTTAGTCTACAGCAAAAGGCCAAGAATTCAGAAACCAAAGCTTTGACTGTAAGCTGAGAGAAAAAGGTCAGAAAAGGTCGGAAAAGTACAGTGCCAGTTGAACCAGGGGAGGGAACTGCTGGAGACACCAGTCACCTGCGCACGCAGAACAGGGTAATAAATTGGAACAGAGTGACGACAGATGAAGCCCTGCGTGAGGGAAGCTGAGCAAGATGCGACCAGTGACGACTCTTGTCTCCTTGAATGGTGAGAGTTTGGTGTAAGTACTAGAGGATCTAGAAGCTGATCAGCATACAGGACAACCAAAAGTAAATATAATTGTAATACCAAAAAAGCACTCCTACGTTCGCCCTCTGTAAGCCCTCCTCACAAAGTGCCGTCAGAGGGCTTACTCCTACTGTTCAACGCCTCCCAAACAATGGGGCTGAAACAGTGTTCACTGGGGATGGTGCCTTTAACACAGCAGAGCTTCTGAGATACTTGAAGCTGGACAACCACCCATTGTCTGCCCTGACCACCCCTGGACAGAAACCTGCCAGAGAAATACACTGAAAATGCAACTGTTTGGAGTCCTTCTGCTTCCACTCGGTGAATGCCTGGACACTAAAACGTTAACGCGTGCCCAACAGAATGGATTTGGGAGCTGCTTCAGAGGCTAGCTTGAAAGAGAAACTTTTTTGCAACCATAGCTGCAGAACCAGCAGCAGGTAGTAGACAGCTGACATGGTGAACTCCTGCTTTTATTGTAATAAAAAGTGATATTGTGCTGCCCTCTGGTGAATCTCTCCATTCCGGGACAGGGGTTTGCGGCTCTTGCGAGGGTGCTGCGGAGCTGAAGGCAAATCCTGCTCCTGCAGATGGAGCTTACACGGGACCCTTCATCTGCCGGGCTCGAAAAAAGTCCTTTCTCCACCCCTGAAAAACTGACAGACTTGAACAGTTTAACCTTGCAGACAGACATCACTGAGACAGAAAAACAGTCAACTGAACTGGGTTTTTTTTTGTTCGCATCTTTTAAGATGAAGATTTCTTTCATTGTACCCTTTCCACAGAAATCTCCACACAAGTTGCTGGTGACACTGAACTCCAAAAACGAGTAACAGAAACTGGCCTGGAACACCTGGATAAGAAACCTGGTTATTTCACCTAAGGCAAAACGCAAACCATGGTTCGCCTTCACATTTCCAAGCCACTATCAGTTCAGTTACACAACTGACCCTTATGCTATATTGGATAAAACTTCTCCCTTCTCGTGGCAACTTTCTCTTGCTTTTTAGACATCAATATTTGCCATTAGTGGAACCTACATGGCAAATAACGCCCGTAGCCATTTCCTCAAAATTGCACTTAAATGCACAATCACATGTGCAGTTTCAAAAAGCTGGATATTTCATGGCATAACCCGCACTTTCACGGTGAGTAATGTGTTCTTTTTCCTTACAGCTGTTGCAGGGGCAGAGCTGAGCTGCGGCAGTTTGGCCTGAGTCAGTGACGACGGCAGACAAACTGAAGGAGAAAAAATCTGTATCTGGGGTGAAGCAGTTTTGTGCGTAAGATGTAGGGTGCAGTTTTAAGGAGCACATGGAGTGACGATTTCAACTAGCAAGAAAAAGCTTGGACTGAGACCTGATTTCTCAGCTGCTAGGCTGTAGCCGGCTAACGGGGCCCCTGCCCAGGAGCTGCATGTGCTTGCTGGTCTGCTGAGCTTTGGTGACGGGGCTCCTGCTGCCCTGTTCTCCTTCCCACCCCTCCTGTTCCCAGGGCCATCAGTTATCCACTGCTAAGCTGCAAAACATATCCGCCGGATCACCCGGATGGGAAGATCCCCTCCACCCCAACAGTGTAGACTGGGGAGGGAGAGGAGGGAGCAGGGAAGGCGGTTGTAATTTTTAAATGGGATTTTTATTGGTCTGGCAGAA